TTCCTGTCGTCCAGGCTGGAGTGCAATGGTGTGATTTCAGCTCACTGCAACCTCTGCCTCCCGGGTTCAAGAGATTCTCCTGCCTTAGCCTCCTGAGTAGCTGGGATTATAGGCAACCGCCACCATGTCCAGCTAATTTTTTGTACTTTTAGTAGAGATGGGGGTTTCACCACGTTGGCCAGGCTGGTCTCGAAATCCTGACCTCAGGCAATCCACCCGCCTCAGCCTCCCTCCCAAAATGCTGGGATTACCAGTGTGAGCCACCGCACCTGGCCTAAGCCACTAGTTTTGAGGCGACTTGTCACATAGCAATGGATATCTGATGCAATGACAGTTGAAACACCCCTTCCTTCCTCAGTGCCCACCCCAGTACCTGTCCAAGGCGTGCCCATGGCCTCCGGGCTCCACTCGCTCCACTCGCCTTGCCCGAACTCCTCCTGGGCACGAAGCTGCACCACGTGCCTCAGGCCGCTCCAGGCGTCGTGGATGACACAGTGATGCTGGAGGTCCTTGACCTGAGGGCGGGGGCACAGTGACTGGGGAGGGGTCCAGGGTGGTGTTGGGCAGGCATCTCCCCAGTGGGTTGGTGCCTTGACCAGCCCTGTGCTTCAGCTGGCAGAGGCCTCTAGAGGCTCCCACCACCCTGGAGGCTCCACTAGTGAGGGGTTGCCCTCAGGGCCCACGGGAGCTGAATCAGAAAGTCCCTGCCCCACCCATGCACTACAGAATCCTGCAAGCCACAATGCTTGACATGTTTATAGCCCAAATCCCTTCCCACATTGCTCTCCTCACAGGCAAGCCTGGGAAGAGGAGACTGGCCTAGCATTATCCTTCTCATTTAATAAATGATATATCACCAAGGCTCAGAAAGCTTAAAACATTTATCCAAAGCAACGAAGGTAGCCAATTTTGAAGCAGGACCTAGAGCCTATGGTTTTCTTTTTAGTACTCTTTCTTTCTTTCTTTCTCTCTTTTTGAGATGGAGCCTCACTCTGTCACCCAGGCTGGAGTGCAGTGGTGTGATCTCCACTCACCGCAACCTCCACCTCCCGGGTTCAAGGGATTCTCCTGTCTCAGCCCCCGAGTGGCTGGGATTACAGGCATGCACCACCACGCCTGGCTAATTTTTCGTAATTTTAGTAGAGACGGCATTTCACCATGTTGGCCAGGCTGGTCTCCAACTCCTGACCTCACGTGATCCGCCCACCTTGGCCTCCCAAAGTGCTGGGATTACAGGCGTGAGCCACCATGCCTGGCCTCTAGTATCCTTTCTACTATGCCTAAGCATCTGGGGGCACCTCTCTGACCAGAAGTAAAACATAAATTTACCATCCATGTTGTGAATGTCTTTGACCGTTCAGCTCGATATCTGAGCTCAAACCGTAGTCTGTAGAAAGATGAGTTCCAGGAGTGGGGGTCTTGCCAGGTGACACTGAGCCAGCGGGGGTTTCTGGCCACGGCAGTGACTGTGATGTTGGCAGGCGGATCAGGCTGCACTGTGGGAAAAGGGAGCATGGCTCCTATGCAGCAGCAAATATAGTGTAGAGAAGCCCATGTAGGCTGAGTTCCCAGCAGGCAGGGCCCCACCCAGCCCCGTTCACTCCCCAGGCACAGCTCCACAAGGGCCTGCTTCATCATTGCCACACCTCCCGGCAAGCAACGCCCAAAAGCCACCAACTCACCAAATCCCTCAACCACCCTTTCCTTGCCCCTCTGAGAAGTCGATAAGAAGGATTAAATCAAAAATGAAGGAAACTGCTGGAGAGGGGGAAGAGCTTACGTACAGATTCCACAACCCTGAAAGGTCTGAGTTTTGCTGAGCTTGCTCCCGACACTACTGGCGACGCACATGGACACTATGTAGAAAGAGCTGTCTCCCTCCGGGACTGCCAACTGGCAGGAGAACTTCTGGGACTCCTGGGAATACTGGCACGGCTCCTGGAAGTCTTCGGCCGGACTGTTCTGACTGTTAGACACAAAACAAGGGCAGGGCTCGCCTGTCAGTTTCGCATAGACTCAAGAGCGGAGAGAAGGGGGAAATGGAATCCCGGGGTTTGAATCCCAGCTCCAGACTCATGAGCCCTGTATCTCTAAGTCTTCTTTTCTCATTTACAAACAGGAATATTAATACTACCTATCTCGTAGGGGTTCTGTTAAGATTATTATTATTAGTTTTTTTTGAGATGGAGTCTCACTGTGTCGCCCAGGCTGGTGTACAGTGGTGCAATCTCGGCTCACTGCAACCTCTGCCTCCAGGTTCAAGAGATTCTCCTGCCTCAGCCTACCGAGTGTGCCCGGCTAATTTTTGTGTTTTTAATAGAGATGGGGTTTCACCATGTTGCCCAGGCTGTTGGCAACATGTTGTACCACGTAAGCCATCATGCCTGGCTGGTTCTGTTAAGACTGAAAAATAAGGGCTGGGCGCGGTGGTTCATGCCTGTAATTCCAGCACTTTGGGAGGGCAAGGAGGGCAGATCATGAGGTCAGGAGTTCGAGACCAACCTGGCCAATACGGTGAAACCCTGTCTCTACTAAAAATACAAAAAAAAAAAAAAAAAATTAGCCTGGCGTGGTGGCACATGCTTGTCCCAGTTACTCGGGAGGCTGAGGCAGAAGAATCGCATGAACCCAGGAGGCAGAAGTTGCAGTGAGCAGAGATTGCGCCACTGCACTCCAGCCTGGGCGACAGAGTGAGACTCTATCTCAAAAAAAAAAAAAAAAAAAGAGCAATAAATGTAAAATCTACAGATGAGGAAACTAGCTGGATTTATAAATATATATAAACATGTAGCCTAGCGCCTGGCACGAAGGGTGAGGGGAGCTAGGCTGGAGGGCTCAGCCAGTCACTCAGGCCTTGGTGGGCTGGCCAGCTCTGGTCTCCCGCTGGGCCTGTGCTCTTGGCACTGTAGGGGATGTAGAAATGAATAGAGAGGCCCCACCCTGGCTTTAAGGCACTAACAAAAAAGACCTGTCCTCAGATGACTAGACACCCAGCAGAAACGCCACTCCAGAGACTCAAAAAGTGCTAGAGGGGTTCTGGCAGGTGAGTCCAGAAAAGAATTCTGGGTGACTGAAGACGTTCGAGGTGAGTCAGTCACCATCCCACCTGGCCTGGAAACCTGAGGTTTCACCCTCTTATGACACATGTGGGGATATGAGGCCACGTCAGCCACTCACCATCTGGCTGGGGTGATGAGTCTGCCATCTCTGACTTGGGTTCGAACCCTGGGCTCCTGCTGAGTCCAGCACATGGGACAAACCCAACCTTTCCAGGCTGAGTTAAGGCCCCCTTTCTCCTCCCCGCAACACCACCCAGGCTTCCACCCAGCCACAAAGGCAGGGTCACCGACTGCTTTACGTGTGTGCCCAGGCGGGGTCAGGGGGCCGGGGCTCAGTCTTGTTGGCCTGCGTCTCTCCCACTGCCCCAGCATCACGCCTGGTCCAAGGCAGAGGCTGAACTCGCCCATGCCTGTGGAAGGAGTGAATGGTGCTGCAATTGGGCCAGGGTATGAAAGCGGACACACAAGAGAAAAAAGCAGAGAAAAAGCAGAGCTCCCAGTAATCCCTTTCCAGGGGCCTGTCTCTTCCAGGCCCTGCAGTGGCCTGAGGTCCGGGTGGGGCCTCAGTGGGGGCTGGGGCCCCTGAGGCTCTCGCAGCTACTTCCCCTGCTCTTTCCTCACTTCAAAGGTGCCCAGTGGCCATGCTGACTCTTCAAAGCAGATGGAAGCAAAGGCTCAAGGCTGCTCAGGAGGAGGACAAGCACTGCAACACGGACACCACACTCTCTCCCACTCCTGCTGTCAACATGGAAAGTATTCCAGTCAAGCTGGGCGCGGTGGCTCACGCCTGTAATCCCAGCACTTTGGGAGGCCCAGATAGGTGGATCACCCTAGGTCAGGAGACCAGCCCAGCTAACATGGTGAAACCCCATCTCTACTAAAAATACAAAGATTAGCCGGGCGTGGTGGCGTGTGCCTGTAATCTCAGCTACTCAGGAGGCTGAGGCTGGAGAATCGCTTGAGCCCAGGAGGCGGAGGTTGCAGTGGGCCGAGATCATGCCACTGCACTCCAGCCTGGGCGACAGAGCGAAACTCCATCTCAAAAAAAAAAAAAAAAGTATTTCATTTGAAGTGTCAGACGTGACAGAGATTTCCACACGCTGGCCTGGGAAGTTGCCAGCCACCGTCTCTGTCCTGCCTAATCCTGTCTATGGTACAAGCCTTTGAGGTACAAACAAGGCGTATCCTTCGCTGGACTGTGAAGCTACCCAGGCTTGGGGCATGAGCTGACAGTGCTGACGGCGGCTGCATCACTCACAGATGGGTAATCTGCACTTTTCATCATAGAGGACAGAACAAAAATAAGACTGCCGGGCGGCCCAGTAACTCTATGGAAACAGACCCAAGTGGGAGCCGAACCACCCTGCTGAAGTCACTGCTCTGGCTTTCGATGCAGTAGTCCTGCCTTATCTGAGGTTTTGCTTTCCAAGATTTCGGTTACCTGTGGTCAACTGCAGTCCAAAAATATTAAATGGAAAATTCCAGAAATAAGCACTTCGGAAGTTTTAAACTGCCCCCTGTTCTGAGAAGTGTGATGAGATTTCATGCCGTCCCGCCCAGGACGTGAATCATCGCTTTGTTCAGCATTCCCGCGCTGTACATGCTACTCGTCGCTCGTCCTGACATCCACCGCCATCATCATGGCTCGGTGATCCAGAGTCACCCAAAACAGGTGATCCTCCTTCTGACACATGGTCAGAAAGTCCTAGTAGCCTAACACCAAGTCACAATGCCTACATCATTCACCTCACTTCATCCCACCATGCAGGCATTTCACGACCTCACATCATCACAAGAAGGGTGAGTACAGTAATAAGAGATTTTGAGAGAGAGACCACATTCGCATAACTGTTATTACAGTATATTATTATCATTGTTCTATGCTATTATTAATTATTAACTTCTTACTGTACCTAACTTACAAATTAAACTATCATAAGTACATATCTATAGAAAAACATAGTATATATAGAGTTCAGCACCATTTGCAATTTCAGGCATCCACTAGGGGTCTTGGAATGTGTCCTCCTTGCCACTGTATTCTGATGACTGATAGCTCAAAATCAATTGTAAACCTCTGGACTGGGGAGACAGTGGCTCTGGGATGGAGACCGGCAAAACCGCAGAGGCAGATTTGTTTTCAGCATCTTCTACCTCCTCTACATGCATGCCTGAACCCATCCCAAGTCTTCCCACGTTAAGCCGTCTTCCTGTGATGATGCAGGGACCCTCAGGCACCCTCAGGCAGGCGTGACTTCTTGCCCTATGGCCCCTAGCTCCCTCTCCCCTGCCCATCACCGCTTTCTCTCGCGCCTTTATCATGGAAATAGCCTGATATGCCCACAAGGGCCCAGACACTGATAAGAGGCTGGCTGTGCTACCCTCTCCTAGGAACATTTGCATGTTTTTCAGAGCAACCTTTGGACTTTGAATGAAATCAGACAGACTGGGACTGAATTCTCAGCAGAACCACTTACTAGTTAAGTGACCCAAACCCATTAATCAGTCTCTGGGCCTCAGTCTCTCCATCTGTTAAGTGAGAAAAATAACGCCCACTTCCCGTAGTTGTTGTGATAACAGTGAATAGGACAAGGTTCCAAGCACAAGCACAGTGCCTAGCTCAGGGGGGCAGTCAAATGTAAATCTCAGTTTCCTCTCATCTCCTCTTCCTCAGCCTGAAGGAATTACTTCCTAATGATAACGTTTTGAAATCACCTGAACCAGCCCCTCTCTGGGGGCCTCGGAAAGGAGGGAGCCGACGTGCACCCAGCTCAGCCCAAGATACTTACAACTTCCTCACCAACAGCACAGCCTTGGTCGTCGGAGATGGGGTGCTCCGAGGACCCCACTCACAAACAACGTTGCTGAGGGGGCTCTTCCGGAAGCAGGAGAGCTGGGGCTCCTCGGGGGGAACTGAAAGGAGAGCATCACAGGTGTAAGCAGGCCGGCGGGGATCCTGGGGCACACCCGACCTCGCAGGCAGGGCAGCCTCCCTTGAAGGGAACGCATGGCTAGGGGCCAGTCCTGGGGCCAGTCAGGACCAGACACCACGGCCACACTTCGCCACACACGAATGGAATCGCAGCTTGGAAATTAAAGGACACCAAAGACCTCATGTCAGTCTGGGACACGCATCCGGGACAGGGGAAGGGTAGCACCTCAGGGCCAACTTGTCTGAAGAGGAGATAGGATGATCGAAAAAAAAGGGCTTTGGAGTCACACAGACCTGGCTGTGTGGCCTTGGGCAAGTCGTAGCCGCTCTTCAGTTTCCTCATGTATAAAATAAACTGATGATAATGTAATGATGATGGCAATGATGATAAGCCTGCTTTCCCTGACAAGGCTGCTGAAGGATTATGAGAGATACAAAGAAGAAAGTGCCTTGGCATAGGGCTTGGCACACAGGGCACTGGTTCCAGCAAGTCTTTATCTATGTGTGAGGGAGCTAAGAACTTGCTAATTCTAAAAAAAAATAAGAATAGCTAATTTGAGAGCTTAGGATGTGCTACACAGACTTTTTAGCACCATATGTGTATGATACACACATACACACACACACACAGGCAAATTCACATATACCCCCTTTGCAACAACTCTAAGGTAAGGTAATAAAATTAACCTTATTTTGCCAAAGATGACACTGAGGGGCAGAGAAGTTAAGCCGTATGTGAAGGAGCAGGATTTAAACCCAGGCTGCCTGACTCCGGGCCCCGGGCTATTCACCAGTTCACCGGAAGTCCTAACTCCCAAAGCCAATATTTCCCATCAGTCAGACGCTCCCACCCAGCAGCTGTCTTTGTCAGCGTCTGGGTGGCAGACATTGGTGGGCCTTCCCCAAAATTCTTGCACCAAGGAAATGGTGGGAGTTTGAAGGCTCAGACAGGGACTGTCTGGAATGCACAGAGCCTCATTTCTTATGAGAACTATCTCCAGGAGCTCTGAGGCACAACTCACCATCCACCAGCAAGTGCACAGTCCCAGCCGGGCGGCCGGCCCGGTAGCATGAATAGTTTCCAGAGTCATGGAGCTGCACCGACCTCAGCAGCAGCCTCCTTCCCACGCCAGCCCATCTGCTGAGGTGGGAGCCTGCAGCTGGCTTCCTGAGAACCCAGTGAACAGTGGCATTGTCTTCTGGCTCTGCCCCTGGGCAGGTCAGAGTCACGCTGTCTCCTGGCAGACTGGTCAGCACACCTCTCGCCACCTCTGGAAGAGGGAGAAGACACTAGGTGAGCCCATAGCCACTGAAGAAGGGGCTTCGTTCTGGTCTGAGGAAGCCACGAGAGGCCTCAGTGATAATCATGAAGTGGTCCAGGCTACCGTCACCTCTGCCTGGATTAGGGCAGCAGTCTCCTGGTGGCCTCCCCAACCTGGTCCTCACCATCCAGCTGCCTGGGAGAGCCTTCTGAAGCTACAATCCAGCCGCCCCACTCCCTGGATTAGAAAACCCTTCAAGGGCCTGCCACCATCCACAGGATGAAGTCCGAGCTCCTCAGCGTGGCCCGCAGGGCCCTGCTGTCCTTGGAGGTCTCATCTCTCCCCACTCCTTAGAAGGTGTGGAGCTCTCCCCTCAGCTCCTGTAGCTCTCCTCCTCACTCGTTCTTCACACATCATCCCCTCGACAACTCCTCCTATTCCAGGTCTTGGCCTAAACATCGTTTCCAGTCCCTCAGCTGCACTAGGCCCTCATTCTGCACTACGTCGCCCACACGCTGCCATGTAATTACCAATTCCGCGTCTCCCTTTCCCTCAAGACTCCAAGCACCACAGGAATAGGCACCCTGCTCTGTTGTTCTCCGTCACATTCCAGTGCCCGGGACGTTGCCTGGCCCATGGCAGGGGCCTGCTGAGCGCTTGATGAATGTGTGAATGAATGGATGCCCTTAGGAATGAATGCCAGGCACCCAAGTGCACATGTACACAGGAGGCCTCCGAATCGCAGGGTATTCATGGCAGAATGCCTATTGTACAGTTGGCAACCAAGGCACAGAAGGATCGGGAGACTGGCCCAGATGCACAGCTGGGGTAGAAACCAGAGCTTCTGGTTCCCTGTTCCACGCTCCCTCCAGTACCCTACATCTACTACAGCAATGCTGTGTTTACTCTAGGGACCAAACTGGAAGGTTAAAAAACAAAATGCATTATCTACCCCTTGAAAAAAAATTGGGTGTATTCTACTACTCAAGAAAAAGGAGATTAAAGATTAAAGGAACAAGTACACTTTTTTTGAGTAGCAGTTATAGATTCATAGAATCTAAGATAAAAATTAGCCCCACCACCTTGCACTCATTTATTAACCAATCAATCAAATTAGTCCAACCAGCTAAGGAAACAGAGGCCAGGGAACACAGCCAGTTTTCATGTAAGCACACTTGGTCCTTCGAACCAAATACATAACCGTTTATTAGCAAGCAGTAGCAATATATCTGGCCAAAGATTTCAGAAAGGACCAGCAGCTGCTGAGTGCCTGACCTCACCTCCTGGCCCATGCTCCTGGGACTCAGAAGCAGCACGAGGCTCCCTGCCTGGCCTGCAAAGCCCTTCTTGTTTATGAGGCGTTATCTCATACTTAGCAGACTGTCCTTCCTTTCACCTCATCCAAGGTGGCTGTCAGAGGAGGGAGTAAGGATCAGTGACTCCCAGGCAGATAACACCCCCAAAGCTGGTGAGGTTGGAGCCCACACTAGCTACTGGCCACAGTCCAGGGAGAGGGACATAGACATCAAAGGGGCAGAGATAGCTCTGCCTGGCATTGGGCCCTGCCTAGCTATACAGATGCCCTTCACACTTCCCTCTCACTTTCATACCTGGAGCCAGAGTCCTCCTCCCTGGCACCCTCTACCCGGAGGCTGACAGAAAAGGGACAGATACAAGGCCATCATGGCAGCCGGTCATCTAAGGTTTTCTCTGGTCACCAACAGGGCCCTGGACCTTGGGTAAGAAAGGTGGTTGAATTGTCACCATGCAGCCAGGGGAGTTTGGGCAGGTTCCTAAGACCCCTATGGCCTTACTTTCTCCCACAGTGAGCAAGTCCTATGTTTGATAAACATTCAAGGAGGCTGTAGCAGCCAGGCACTGGCGAGGAAGACACAATCAGGCATCCCAGAGACCTGCCCTTGAGAGATGGGAGACGCATTCGCTGCTGCAAGGCCAGGACACAGTATACAGTACTCTCCTGGTCCTCAGCAAAATCTGAGTCCCAGCTGGGCCTCGCACCTGTAATCCCAGCACTTTGGGAGGCTGAGGCGGGTGGATCACCTGAGGTCAGGAGTTCGAGACCAGCCTGGCAAATGTGGTGAAACACCATCTCTACTAAAAACACAAAAATTAGCTGGCCATGGTGGTGCATGCCTGTAATCCTAGCTACTCAAGAGGCTGAGGCAGGAGAATCGCTTGAACCTGGGAGGCGGAGGTTGCAGTGAGTCGAGATTGTGCCACTGCACTCCAGCCTAGGTGATAGAGTGAGACTCTGTCTCAAAAAAAAAAAAAAATCTGAGTCCCTAGAAGGTGAAGTCCACTGAGGGCAATAAGGAGTGGACTGCTACTGCCCAGAGGGCTTGAAAGGGTTATAAAAAGCCCCAACTTGGCCGGGCGCGGTGGCTCACGCCTGTAATCCCAGCACTTTGGGAGGCCGAGGCGGGCGGATCACGAGGTCAGGAGATCGAGACCATCCTGGCTAACACGGTGAAACCCCGTCTCTACTAAAAATGCAAAAAATTAGCCGGGCGAGGCGGCGGGCGCCTGTAGTCCCAGCTACTCGGGAGGCTGAGGCAGGAGAATGGCGTGAACCCGGGAGGCGGAGCTTGCAGTGAGCTGAGATCGCGCCACTGCACTCCAGCCTGGGCGACTAAGCGAGACACTGTCTCAAAAAAAAAAAAAAAAAAAAAGCCCCAACTACAATATAGCTTTCACATAGAATTTTCAACAATATATTTTTAGCATTGCAAACATCATTTTTTAATATATTACATAATCCATGCAAATTCATATATGTAATGTATGTAAAAGCTACATACATAAAAGTTAATTTAGGAAGCATAAAACACCCAGGAGAGCCCACCAACCTAACTTTTAAAAATAGGTTCACTACCCCTGGATCCCTAAATTTTTCTTAACTTTGCTTCATTTTTGAGCTTCATATAAATGGTTTGAATATAGTCTTCTGCTGTGATGTGCTTTTCTCTTTTCTTTTTTTTTTTTTTTTTGCAGGGGAAGGGACAGTCTCACTCTGTCACCTAGGCTGGAGTGCAGTGGCGCAATCTCGGCTCACTACATCCTCAACTTCCCATGTTCAAGCAATTCTCCTGTCTCAGACTCCCAAGTAGTTGGGACTACAGGCACACACCACCACATCTGGCGAAATTTTTTTTTTTTTTTTGTATGTTTAGTAGAGATGGGGTTTCACCATATTGGTCAGGCTGGTCTTGAACTCCTGATCTCAGGTGATCCACCCGCCTCTGCCTCCCAAAGTGCTGGGATTACAGGCATGAGCCACCACGCCCAGCTGGTGCTTTTCTCGAACTTCCTTTGTGTGTGTGTGTGTGTGTGTGTGTGATACAGAGTCTCAGTCTGCTGCCCAGGCTAGAGTGCAGTGGCACAATCATAGCTTTTTGCAACCTCAAACTCCTGGGCTCAAGCAATCCTCCCACCTTAGCCTCCTGAGTAACTAGGACTATAGGTGCATACCACCATGCCCGGCTAATTTTTTAATTTTTACTAGAGACAAGTTCTCAATATATTGCCCAGGCTGGTCTTTAACTCCTGGCCTCAAGCCATCCTGCCGCCTTAGCCTCCCAAAGTGCTGGGATTACAGGGATGAGGCATCGTGCCCGGCTGCTCTTTTTTTTTTTTTTTTTTTCTTTTTCTTGGAACAGGGTCTCACTCTGTCACTCAGGCTGAAGTACAGTGGCATAATTACAGTTCACTGCAACTTCAAATTCCTGGGCTCAACTGATCCTCCCACCTCAGTTTCCCAAGTAGCTGGGACTACAGGTACATGCTACCATGCCTGACTATTTTCTTTTCTTTTTTTTTTTTTTTTTTTTTTTTTTTGAGACATGAAGTTTCACTATATTGCCAGGGCTGGTCTCAAACTCCTGGCCTCAAGCAATCCTCCCACCTGGGCCTCCAAAATGTTGGGATTACAGGCATGACCACCTGGCCCGGCCTCATTGATATGTTTCTCTGATTCACTGATACATATAGTTAATTCAGTTTCACTGCTATGTAGTATTCTGTTGTGTGACCCTATCATTCTCTCACTGAGGGAGGTTTGGGGTCATTCCCAGTGTTTTGCCACATCAAAGAGGGCGGCTATTAACTTTCTCATGACTCAGTGCACTTGCCCAGGAACTTCCCTAAGAGTGAAACTGCTGGTGTTGGCGTGTGTGTGATATGTGCCCTTTTTCTTCACAACTGAACACATGGTCCTGTGCGTTGAACTCCAGTGGGCACCTGATGGAGGCAGCAGTTTACCCATCCAGTCCACATCTTGAAGTCCATCAGTGCCTGAATGCGGTTACGTATGGAAGATGCAACGACACTTCTAATCGATGCACCAATATTTCCACTTTTCCATTTTCCACTTGATAAAGCAGCTGTCAAGATAAAGCCTAACACGGACTTCAAGTTCCTGCACAAATGACAAACTTGCAGGAACAAAGATGGAAACAGTGCCCAAAGAGAACTGCTCCCAGTGCAATGCTTGCAATATCCCTTCCTCAGCTGATTAGCAGAAATCAGAATTCACAGGGCAGTCTAGGAGCACCAGCATGCAACAGACACAAGTGCAGGATGCATGAAGGTTGAAGGCAGGGGTCAAGGACCACCACGGCTCATCCAATCACTGGCACTTTTCACATGGCACAGTCCTCAACTATAAAAAGGTCCCTTCCCCGACCATGGTGACAACACTGGAAGCTCCTGGTCATCACTCATCAGAGAACTCAGTAGGTGCTTAATGCATGTTTGTTGACTATAGGGCACGTTAGGGGTACCCACAGGGAGGGTCTCGGCACCAAAAACTCCCAGGAGCACGGTTTGCGGAGAGGGGGTCTAAGTGGTGCCCTCTCGTGTTGTGCGATGGGCAGGCCCAGGCTGGAGGGCAGAGGAGCCCGCTGAGGCAAGGAAATAGACTCCTGGAGCCAGAGGAAGCTCTCTTTTCTGCTTCTGCCTTTGCCAAATCCAGTAAATACGTCTTTCTGGTC